TAAAAGTAAAATTTCCATTGGTATATAAAAAAGGATACTACATCTTCTGAGAACAAAATCAAAATAAAATCTGTCTACTCTGAAAGCCTTGGTCTTTCCAAGATATCAATGCAAGACATTCAGGTTTTGAGACTATGCCATGTGATGCAGCATGATGAAAGGGTTTCAAATGTAAGGACTTACAAAGTTTAAAGTAATTCATGCAATATTCCAAAATTACAGAGCAGCATCAATATTCAACTTTGTTCTGTAAAAATATACAGATCACCCTTGGTAACATTAAGTTCATATCCCAAAATGAGCTGCAGAATTAGAAAATTCATCCTCTCTCTACAGAGGATCAGACTAGGGTTCCATTACCATGAAAGATTGCACATGCTGGCCTTTGGCTGATCTATGAATTCATTTTGATAATGACTGGAACTGGAAAGAGAGAAAGAATACATTTTTACCTTTTAGGAAACATTAAAGCTGTAAATGCAAGAATATAAATGTCTTAGAATTAATTACAATAACTTTACAGACAAAATTTTATCAACTCATCAATCAGTTCAAATCAATTATGTTGAACACAGAAAAAAAACTAATACTTACCAAATATCAATAGCAAAATGACAGTTATTGTGACTCCAATGCAAAGTTTTGCACGTGTATTTTGCCACCACATGTTGCGTCTCAGGCGGGTTGCTGTGGTTCGGAACTGATCAGAAGTGGTTGCAAGTCCCTCTGATCGATCCTGGAGATTGTCCAGTTGGTCACCTCTTTCCAGGAGCCGCCCAACATTATCTCGCATTACATCAGTTACCTCAGCAATCTGCACCCTCACACTGTTGGGATCAATGATAAAGATTAAAGATTTGTTAATGCAAGCTAAAAAGGAAGGGACATTAGGAATATTAAGACATAATGGGCGTCTTCTGTACGTGCCATAAAAGTTAATCCAGCATTAAAGTTTAATCCAAATCTCTAGTGCGCATGCGCGTTGGCAGCGACCAGGATCAACTCTTAATACACCTCTGGACCAGGCTTTAATTTGAAGCTCATTTTTAAATCCTGCACATGCACAGAAGGGACAAGTTAATCCCACCAATCATGTACTGTTACATCATGTGCCCGTCATGAGCTTCATGGATGCCATCGCTTGAGTTGCCATTTAGAGTTATTTTCGGCAATAACATCAATCATCTTAGAATTTTCATACTTAGTATTCATTATGAAAATGAAATTGTATATATATACACAAATGATCAAATATTCTGATTAAGGAAATAACTTATGGTGATGAATATAAAATCCAATATAATCCTACGAGGAATCTTTGAAGTTCAGAGGCTGCGGGCATGGAACTCATATTTCCAGGTTAGTGAAACAAAAATTATATGGTCAAGGTCATACAAGTTGACGTTTTAAATCAAATATGAACCAGTGTTTTAGAGAAGAATTATGTGCTGAGTTTTTCTTAACTACTTTACTACAAAATTAATAAGTGTACTTTTCTATGGACCTCCTGAACAGCATCCTGAAGAAAACATGTTTCCCTCCTCCAACATGATTCAACACAGCAAAGAGCTGTCCGAGGAAACTGCATGATGGATATTAATTGGTGAACGTCATTTTTGTACTTGAGTGTAATTGAAATAAAGATTGATTTTATAGTTGTTAGAGCAGTTCCGTTACCCATTTTACTACTATAAATAGATCATTATCATGGAAAAAATAGAATATTTCATAAATAATCATGTTTCCCTTATAAGTAAGCCTACTTGTGCCTTGTAATTATCATATGAAGATCAAACTGCATCTTGAGTGACTGACTACAACTGGACAATCTGACAAACATGTATGTTATTTGTCTTACCATATCAGTTTTCAAGCAAAACTGATAATAAATCACAATGTAAAAGTAAAATTTCCATTGGTATATAAAAAAGGATACTACATCTTCTGAGAACAAAATCAAAATAAAATCTGTCTACTCTGAAAGCCTTGGTCTTTCCAAGATATCAATGCAAGACATTCAGGTTTTGAGACTATGCCATGTGATGCAGCATGATGAAAGGGTTTCAAATGTAAGGACTTGCAAAGTTTAAAGTAATTCATGCAATATTCCAAAATTACAGAGCAGCATCAATATTCAACTTTGTTCTGTAAAAATATACAGATCACCCTTGGTAACATTAAGTTCATATCCCAAAATGAGCTGCAGAATTAGAAAATTCATCCTCTCTCTACAGAGGATCAGACTAGGGTTCCATTACCATGAAAGATTGCACATGCTGGCCTTTGGCTGATCTATGAATTCATTTTGATAATGACTGGAACTGGAAAGAGCAATAACAATCTATAACAATCACCTTTTCTCCAATCCATAAAAAATGAATATCAGTTGTCAGAAAAATCTTTTAACAATGCAGTGTCTGAATGCAAATTGCAAGGTTTATTTAAATTTTATAAATTTTATATCGAACTGCAAATCTTTAGGTAATATCTTTAATACTGTCTTCTATATCATATGTGTAGGGACATGAAGGGTGAATGTTGAATAGATATCTTTTGGATGATCTTTTTGCTCATTTAAAGGTATGAGTACTTGACTTCCTCCAAACGCTACCCTACATAACATGCAACAGTTATGTGTGAAGAGCAACATTGCACAGAAATGTTTCAAAATATCACAGACTGTTCAGCTATAAAAAAACAACATACCTCAGCTCCCACCCTTTAGATTTGTAAAACCTATTCCCACATGCCCAGAAATACAAGACCAGGATCTTCACATCAACAGCAGAGGGCAGAACCATCACTATATCACAAACCAGAAACATCACAAGAATTGATTGAAATTTAAAGAGACAGTCCATTAACTTAAGATTCCAAAGAAATCATATTTGAAACAGATAATCTTGAAGAAATGTGTACAGAAAATAGAGGTAAGAACTTTCTTACTTTGATATGATGATAGTCATAGTTTTCAATTTTGGGGACATTGGGAGGCATAAAGAAATGATTAATGATATGAATAAGATTTTAATGCCTTGTCTTCAATCATGTAGGTACGTATGGGATGAAGGGAAGGAAAAGGTGGTTTTCAGAAACATCTGAGAAGTTTATATAATTACTTACAGAACACTTTAAACAATTAGGAGGCAAAGCAGTGCAGAGATAAAAAAGGCATAAGATAATTAGCATTATGAAAACATTAGTAAGAGTCTCAGTTTCATGAAATACACATTAAATATAATAGATATTTTGAAACATAAGAGATGTCTAAAATAGTTTCTTAAATATGATTACCAAAAACATTGACTTTACAAAAGGATAGGGGGAAAAAAATAAAAAAATAAAAAATAAAAAAATAAAATCTCCCAAACGAGCAAATTTCACGCGCGACATTTCTCCTCTCTCCGACATGTTTACATGAAAACAGTGGTGATAGAATAGTGAGTACAACAGTTTTTACTGAACATTATTGCCGCGCCGTCTGGCAGTGGAGAGTGTTGTCTTCGGTACGGACACAGTGGATTAGGATTAAACTAAATACGGTATTAAGAGTTAAGGACGTTACAGAAGACACACATAATGATAACGCTGTTGGTTATCCACTGGCTGATTCCTATACAGTACAAGCCAGTGGCTAACCCCTTCGATAGAAATGCAGACAATTTGTTGCCATACTTCCCATGTACTTCATATAATAAACCCAAAAAACAGGAATGCATTTGACACCTGCTTTATTGGGATTAAGAAGAAGAAAAAAAAAAAAAAAAAAAAAAAAAAAAAATCAAATTTTCAAACTATATGGTAAGTCTTATTATCTCAACAATTTTGGAGGCATATGTTAACTGTAGCTGCTGGAACACTAAATCCTCTTGTGCTGCAATGATTTCAGGGACACAGTTCATGGATATACGGTTTCTCTTCCTCTTCCAGTTCTGAACACTGGAGTATTAATACATACATGTATCACAAGAGAGTTATTCTCCAGTACCACAAGTTGTTTTAATGTCATTATAGCAATATTGATAGTTACTAATTGTTGTAACACCTTGGTAATTTATATATAACTGTATAGTTGTTGTAATATGTCTTCAAACAATGAAAGCTCTGCAGTAACATGGAAATATGAGAATACTGACACTTCTTGAGACATTTGAGGGATAGAAAGTATTTCTCTTTGGATATTTCAAACATTGTTTACATTACAAACTAAAACAAAAAGAAATTCAAAAACAAGAAAATGATAGGTCAGTTTACAACACAATGGAAATCAAAGTGATCTATCATTTGGCCATATATAATTAATATTCAACAAAATCCAGTGCACACTTACTCTTTCAGTTTATCTGAAGCAAAGCGAACAGTTTTTTTGCTGGAAGGACCTCTGGAAAAAATAATGAGATGAATCAATTTTGGTCAATGCAATTTGTAATTATATAATCAAACTCTTATACTATATTTCATATACAATTAGTTGATACAACAGCATATTCCCCTTCTATAACAAATAACTAACTGGTTCATATATAGTTCTGGCCAAACATTTTTCTTTTTTGCTACTTGAAAAAGAGACGAAAGAAAAAAATCCATACATATATACCAGACAGAAAACTTCTTACATAAGCAGTCAAGTTATTTTCTAAAGCCGTAACTTATGCAGTTAAATTTTCATCTGATTTAACATTCGTGATGGATGATACATTATTTATACATCGTTTCCACATTATCAAAATGGGTTGTCACTGATGGTACAACCTAGTATAATTCAATTTAATTGGCTTGGGCCAATCCATGTTGCGCGGTAAACAAACACTTCAACAATTTTGTTTGGCCAAAAATATGAAAGGGAGAACTGCACAGTGAAAACAGAAAGGAATGCAGCCTGCTGCATGTGTGCCACAAAGATTCCAGTCTAGCTTCTATATAAACACACACACACACCAAAAGAAATATCTTTAGAAATCAACTTACTTGAGAAAGAAGTCTTCATCATCATCTGCTAT